CCATGCCACCCGCTGCCGTTGTGCGGACGCTTATCGGGTCATCCGCGGGCATTGTTGGGCGCTACCGAGCACTTACCGGCACGCCCTCGGAACGGGCGTGGCGTCGCCCATGGGTGGCCGGTGCTCGCCATAATTGTCTGACAACGGAAGGATACTAAATTAAATTTGCCTTTTGAGATGAGACACATATAATTAGAATCAGCTTTGCGCTGATTTCAAAAGTTATTCTGAAGCGAGTATGGGCTTGCTGTTGTGAGTGATTAACAAACTTCGTAAGACGGCGTACAGATAAGAATCTGCTCACGTCGACACCGTAACATCAGGGTCGAAAAGCACGCAATCTTTGCATAGAAAAGATACCTAACTAGTTTCAGAATAATGCTAAGCAGCTAGGAACATCATATTTGGAATCAGCACTGCAAACTGTTCTCAAATATATGTGTCTCATCTCAAAAGGCGAATCTATTAGGTCGTTTCATAAGTCCGTAGAGTTTTGATTCTCGTTCCCATTTCTTTGGGGAGCGGTTGATTTGCGGAGATGCATACACCATTGAGAAGGGCTGATCATGCTCTCTAGATTAGACCAACTATTTTTGATAAAAAGCTGATCTCCTTTAATTTATCAGCTTCCAACGAAGGATTTCCAAAAGGCAAAAAGAGGCATATTCGGCACTTACCCATTTTTTTCTTGCGAAAAAAGCGTTTTGCGCAGATATTTTTGCCAATCATGGAAAATGGCGTATTTTCGTTAATATGAGACATAAAAAAAGCGGATTGCCGAGAAATACCAAGACTTTACGAGGTGACTCCTGAACAAGACTTTTTGCAGGATGGGTAGCACGTTCTGCACTAAAAATTGCTAGGCAAGAAGAGGACGGTCGCCTATGCTGTATACAACCCGACTTCGCCGTCTAAACGATCTACCAGGAAAGGCCTAATAAACAGGTCAAGTGAGCTTTCCTGCGCGAGAAAACTTAGCCCTCTACGGCAACCGTCGTCATAGCTTCATGCAAGAGGCACATTAGTATCCGATGTGTTCCTGAGGTCTCGCTCTAGCATATTATCATCTGCTCCAGTCTATCATAAATCATGTAGACGGATTTTGTTCAGATTTTGAAGGCGAACTTAGGCGCTGGTAGACGACTTTTTTGGGACCAGACCCGCTGAGTTCTGTGAAAATGGAACTGAAAGTCTCACTGCGTAGCCGCAAAAGATTGTGCGCAACAATGGAATATACATTATTGACTGAATTTTGTTGATTTTATGTCATTTTGTTGACTCTTAAAAACTCTACGGACTTATGAAACGACCTAATAAGTTAGTATCCTTCCCTTGTGAGGTCATTATGCGAGATTGAGTAAGCACATAGATAGTAGAACCAGTGCGGCATATTCTCAAATGGGTCTGCACCTCGCCGGTACTCGTTAACGCATAGACGTTGTCAGCAGCGCTAAATCACCATATGACATCAATCACTATTTGACCATCATCTATTAGTCTACACTCAATATAGCAAAAGCCTGCCTGTTTTATCGATCAGTCTGATCAGTGGATTTGCAAGAAAAGCTTAAATGCCAATTTTTTTCTATCAGTACTCAAGACTACCTCACCAAGAGTGCTCCTTGCAAGAATTGTTAAAGAATTCTTTTAAATGTGGAATGCTCCTAGTATGGGCAAAGGCCAGGAAATCTATCAAGTCAAGATTGCTATGCAAGAACAAAATACGGGGTGTCCCAAAATAATGTGCACACTGTTTGATTTTGAATAACTCTTTTGTATCGATGTTTCTTGCGGATTCCAAGGTACCTTATGAAAGGGCTGAAACTAACTTAGATTTACAGTATATGGCGAATCAGCGATCTCCATTCATTACTGTAGGATTACGGTAGGAATTTTGGAGTGGTCTTTGGGCCTTCGACGGGCAAAAAAGCGTAAAAATTCTTAGAAAATTAGAATAGGCACATTAAGGTTTCTGGGGATGCAGAATCTTATTGCGACATCAATCTCTACCGTAGCCTACCGTAGAAACCAATCTTAATGTGCCTATCCCAATTTTCTAAGATTTTTTTCTACGCTTTTTTTGCCCGTCAAAGGCCAAAAACCACTCCGAAATTCCTACCGCAATCCTACAGCAATGAGTGGAGATTGTTGATTCGCCATATACTGTAAGCCTAAGTTAGTCCTAGCCCTTTTATATGGTACCTTGGGATCCGCAAGAAACGTCGATACAAAAGAGTTACTCAAAATCAAACAGTGTGCACATTATTTTGGGACACCCTGTAGATCTGCTACTGATTGAAACGCTTCCTCAACTCGAAATTAATTGTTCGAAGTGGCTTCACTGATTACTACACCACTTTACAGTAAAGAACGCTTGTTCCAAAATTGTTATCGTTGTTTGCGAAGCGCTTTTACGCCCACTTATGAGTGTTTTCCGAGCCAAAAAAAAGGATTCAGATTCTAAGTAAATTTCATTCGCACTTCAGAGCCTCAAATAAAGGGTTATTACGAGTATTTTAGATAGGAGGTATTCATTGAATAAGGTGCTTTGAAATTCAACGCTGGTCCATTTGAGCAAATTTGTACAACCTTTTTCCAGTGCGCATTTAATCTTTTAACCCAAAAGCTCATAACTCAGAATGTAAAGGCGTTTGACAAGGAATGAAAACGGACTTGGGATTTTTGTATATGTTTACTTGGGCCGATCACCAAGATTATAGCACGCTTTATTCAATCAGGCTAACGTTTCGGTGCCTTCACCTTCGTCGGAGCCTGGAAGGTCGTCACATTAGTGGTTTGTTCTCCCGAACACCTCGTTCAAGCCAAGGTTACATTCAACATCAAGCCAGGCTGAAAGCCGTGACGGAAACCGTCGTTCATGCTCACCTCGGCTGTCTTCGAATCGGGGTCGAGCCACCACTAAACACAGCGTCTGCACAGTCAGTAGTAGTAGAGACTAATACAAGTGCCTTATATAGATGAATCTAATCTTATTGTAGATCAAATCCGCAAAGGGACTGATATGCGATTAGATCACTATTCATGGCAACGCCCTCTTCTTTGCGGTTCATTGCAGGAGCTTTGGATGTTATCCAAAATGCTTCTAGCGTTTTACGAGGAATTATTTCGGATTCACGCGTTAAGATTGTGACGGCTATATCAAATTGTTGATCCGAGTGATACTCTCTGCGATGTGCGCCTAGGGGAGTGTTCGGTTTAGATTTTACAAGACCATCTAGGTGCTCTTTGATTCTCACGCAAAGAGGCCTGCCAGTCTCTCCTATGCACTCTTTCCCGCAAGTTTGACAAGTTATTTGATAAACTACTCCTGCCTCCATGCAATCGCCTGGTTGACCAAATGGGCATACGACACGATCGGTGTTCATGCACAGTCGATCGTAAGAGCGATTACGAATTAGTTGTTTTCTAAGACTGGGAGGGGGAATATCTACAATGCTAACGGAGTCATTAAGGCCTGCTTGTTCTAAGCTTTTCCTTATCGCTTTGTTGAATACTTCAGATATAGAAGGAACACAAAAAGGTATTTTTGCTTCACTCTTGCTTGTGCGCGATCTGTATTCGTGCCAAGTACGTTTCGATAAATGGTTTGTGGGGTAGCCATTGGACTTCGCAATCTGTCTGGCAAGACTTAACGATGTAGCGCGTTCTTGCTCGGAGGAAACTGCCTTTGCAGTCCCAAACATATTGGAAATCACCGACCTTTTTGTGCTCCAAGGATGGGCCGAGTGATAGTGCACCAGGATATTTTTGCTGCTTGGTTTTCGAAACCATTTGGTCTTGTATGATCCATCACGCAACTGTACTTGGATGTTAAGGAAAGGCAGCCAGTTTTCGTTGGGCTTCTCTCTGTAAACTTTATGTATGGGGATTGGCTATTTAGCAGATTGAAGCAAGTGTCTAGTTCGTCTTGTGTCGCGCACACAATACAACAATCATCTACATAGCGGCAATAAAGTATTGGTTTGCGCGCTAGTACGGGGCTCTCAATTTTTGACATATAGGCAATGGCAACGACGGGTGCCAGCCTTTGGCCCATCGCTAATCCCCTGACTTGTCTATAGTATTGCCCACACCATCGAAAAATGTTGCAGCTAAGGCATCCTTTGAGAAGAACCATCGCATGCCGGATATTAAAGCCGTACATGTTGATGGAGCCATGGTGTTCGACAATATCTCGTAAACCGCTTCCATAGCTGCTTCATTCGAAACATTGGTATATAATGAAGTGACATCGAATGATTCGATGACACATTCTTTAGTTAGGGGCGCCTTACTCATTTGCTCAAGAAACATGCTCGTATTTGTTAGATGAGCAGGAATATATCGAAGCAATTGCGTGAGGATCAAGTTCAGCAGCCAGGATATCCTATCACTGGGACCTCCACAACTGCTTACAATAGGCCTTACTTTGAACTCTGCAGGGTTTAGTGGTGGCTCGACCCCGATTCAAAGACAGCCGAGGTGAGCATGAACGACGGTTTCCGTCACGGCTTTCAGCCTGGCTTGATGTTGAATGTAACCTTGGCTTGAACGAGGTGTTCGGGAGAACAAACCACTAATGTGACGACCTTCCAGGCTCCGACGAAGGTGAAGGCACCGAAACGTTAGCCTGATTGAATAAAGCGTGCTATAATCTTGGTGATCGGCTTAAGTAAACATATACAAATATCTACATCATGCCAAGATTTATCAATAATCGAGCTTGGACTTGGGATTATTGTTTTATACCTTTTCAAAGGTGTGATACTCTTTGGAAAGACCACATCGACTGAGATTTCATTGTTTGAACAGTTCCTTTCAAATGGCGAAGCAGTAGGTCGTATTTGAATGAATGGAGATCTACCGAATCATTGATGTTTCCTATCTTCCTTAACAAGGAAAATCTGGTTGAACGCGACTATACACAATCAGCTTTAAACATTGGAAATATCGCACTCAATCAATCACTAGCTTCTGTTTTGAATGTTTACTGTATTTAGGAATGAAGGACCTTATGTCGCCTACCACCGATATAAGCTTTTCAAACAGGTGCGTGCATTCTATGATATTTGACTTCTAATTCCAACTTTCTCTATGATAGAAAATTTCGAGTATGAAGGCCAAGAATAAGTTTGGGAATGTCAACATCTGACTTCGACTAAAAAGTTTGAGCACAGTTCTGAACGTTTTTTCCACATTTCTATATGTATGCAAGAAGTCTGTGTGCGCAGACGTAACTCTTTTATAAACCTCTTTCTGCACAATATGATTTCAAAACCGTATGACCACGGGGGTTGTTTTTGAGCCGAATTGTCGTGTCCCTCTACTGGTTTAATGACTTCCGACATTTGCAACGAAGGTGCATTTTTCTTTGTTGGCAAACAACTCTCCATCAAATATGCAATAGCGGAAGCCGATCTCCTACCTCCACGTTTGAGCTGGTACAAGATGACCGCCTTCAACTCTAAGCTTGATAAACTATTCTTACTGACTAAAAAAGAAAGAAATTAAGTGAAATCAGCTGAGGCTTGGCGTATTTCAATTGAAAATTTTGTTTCATGAACTGTGAAACTGTAGCGGCAGAAGAGACTTGGTGTCTCTTATGTCACGCAATAGTTGGCTTCAGAGTGGGCGCTACTGCGGGGGTTCGTCGTGGTGTCCAGGGGTATGATGCAATCCTTTATCGAAGAACGACCCTCCAAGTAATCGGCACGTCCACGTCTTCTCGGCTTCGCTCCTCAATTGAGATGGCTCCTCAATTGAGATCCGACCGCTCTCCTCGTAGCACCGACAGCGCAAACTGATTTGAGCCAAGCAAAGCCGCCTTATATAGCGGCCGAGAAGATGTGCATGCAGCCCAATCACGTTCCCTTAAAAATTGAGATATAGCTGTATTCATGAGTACACTCCGCACGAGCAAGCAAGTAGTTAATCGGGTAGGCACAAAATACAACAAATGCATAAATTTGTATAGACTTAGACATATTTATGGGAGCTAGAGACAGAAGAGAATTTACGGTGAACAGATGTAGTTTGGTGGTTGCTGTTCCGTGGCGTAGCTTCGTCTTTAGTCGTCGTCTCTTCTTCCTCGCCGGTTCTACCCTCGTCGGTTTTGAGTTGAAAGAATCGTTATCGGTGATAGCCGTGGTTTCCGTGATCAAATGTTTGTGATGTGTGATCTTCGGCATGTCCGTCATCTTTATCTTAGCTTGTGACGTCGGTTGAAGCGTTTTGGCAAGAGTTTCATTCGCAGTTCTCGTTCTGGAGCTGGAATAGACCCTAATCTTTGTCGTGTCGCTCCTCGTGTGCGGTCGGTTTTTTTCGCTGTGTACATCCATTCTAGTTTGCTATTTTTGCTGCTATTCTCTTCTTCTTTTGTTTCTGCTTTTGAGATTTGGCTGCTCAGCATGACCATCTCTTTTGCAGTGGTTTTTTTCTGAATTTCTTCCCGTTTGGTGGTTTTCCTTCCTCCTCTAGCGCATTGATTTATTGTTTTTTCTATTGAGTAGAGCAGAGAGATGCCGGCCAGATCTGCGCGTGCTAAAAAAGCCTCACTGGTTTCTCCTGCAAATGAGTCAGTGAACGTTCAGAGCGGAGATCTGTCTGCCGACATTGATTACAGTCAGATTACCGCTTCTGCCCTACTCCATTGCATTAGGGAGAAAACTGCCTATCCTGTGATCGGCAGAATGTTTCTCTTCTGTCCAATAAATTACAGGAGGAGATCCATGGTGCGGTGGAGGGTGAGAAGCAGTCTAGGACCGTTGTAATCAATGGGGTATCGGAACCACGCGAGGGCCTTAGTGCTAGTGAAAGAGCTGCTGATCTCAAGCTGCGGCGCATCATTTGAAACGGAGTTACGAACCCTCTTCCCTGTGACTCGCTCTAACGGCATTCGATACCACGAGAAATCGTGTGCGAAAGTGGCAAGTCTTTAGCTTCAATGTCTGAGGCTACGTGGTTTCAGTTCTATTGGATGTTTTATGTTTTGCAAAGGTACTCCTCAAAGCCAAACATGATTCACATCCAGGTTCATTTCTACGTGCATCTTGGTAAGTGGGTTTATCATAAACCGAAGATGTTCTGCCCCGAGCTGATCGTTGTTGTCGGTCAAAGACCTCTGGCTCTTGCGACTTGCCGCTGGATACATACATACATTTATTCATCTTCAGCGGTTATATACAGAATACCGCGATGATTGCTTGAGTTAGGCAACTTCGATTTCGGTCGTCTTCGATGACAAGAATCCATTCTTGTTCGTGCCAAACAGCGCATTCTCGTCACGTCGCGATCTTGATCCATGACTTCTCGACTCGGTAGACGCGGTAGACCAGCCACGGTTTCTTCCACCTTGTCTTCTTAGTCCTATCCTTGGTGGATGATATAGGTCAGAGCTAAGAGCTAACCGACCGTTTGTCGGAAGGATGAGGAGAGAAGATCATCCTGGTTCTTGCGCGACTTTAGTATTCTGGTTTTCGTCAGGTGAAGTAGTTATTTGCGAAGATGATGATTGTGCTAATTTCAATTTTGTTCATTGTGCCATTGTGAAAGGCATTTTTGTTCCAAACACTTCATTAATATGTATAATCAATGCTCATGATTAAGCAAAATATTTGGAGTGTTTAAACTGTCCAAAAATCATTTACAACCAAAATCGAGGTAGCATTTGAAAAATCCAAAATGTAATGCTTTTAGATCGAAATTCCATCCCGTTGCCTGAATTCACTGATAAGCTGGCTAATGAACACTTTTGATGGATTGCGAAACAGAAAACAGCCAATGGGAGTATAAAGCCAAACACTTGCCTTACCCCACGACTTCGCGTGGTGGTTGTCAAGTTTCCTCCAGACTTGCCGGTAAAGCGAATCGGGGGGGGGGAGGAGGTCGTCGTAACTCCGTTCCAAACGAGCCACAGCTAGGGACAGCATATTTGGCACCAGTTCCAGTGAGCCAGAGAGTAATTGTATTCTTCTTTGTATATCTATAAGTAACTACTCTTCTTTGTATACCCATCTTATAAAGTTACTCATACCCTGGCATCTGAGGCGGCGCAGGAGTTCCCAAAGCCTCGCCGCCTTTCCTTGCAGGGGTACTTAACACCTACTAGTCCCCCGCACTTTTTGAAAGGCTTCGCCCATTTGCCCCTCCCACTAGCTAATCTCATCACGGGTTGTGCAGGCTTGGAGAATAATTCTCCTGAATGAATAAGGAAGGATGGAAAATGACAGACTAAAAAGAAGTCTGCCATTCGGGGCATGCGCCATTGCAACATAAAAGAAATATTACTGAGCGGTCTTTTGATCATGAGGCGTTAGTGTGGGCACCGCTTTGTCGAAAGTAAGGAAACTTCCGTTTTCTCAATTTAAATCCGAGACAAGTGTACATGCGGTCTAATTGTAAGTGTATGTACTAAGCAAGTTGCAGGTGTTGCAAATTTTTCCTGACGAATCCCTACTTTTTTGCGATTTTTCTGACAGTTGGATTTTTCTAGTTTTTAGTTGAAACTCCATGTCGTTCAAATTTTATGCAAATTGAAGAATCAATCAAACGTCTGGAGCTTGCTTTGCTCTATCGAATACAGAATCATAGGATCTATACGGAATATGTAAAATATGACTTATTGCGGTTTTGGCCTGTTTTGAGGCCAAAACCGCAATAAGTCATATTGGAGCAAGGCCATGTTACAACGAAAAATTATTTTCAAATTTTTCGTAGATTAAATGAGTACTTAGAGCTGAAAATCTTTAAAGTTGTCTCAATTCATGTTCGGATGTTCATGATAATGAATGATAAGATTGTTCCTTCTTTGGTACTACTTTTGCAAAAAAAAATTGAGCTAAATATCTGCTGAAATTTTATAGATTCTGCTGGCATGGCAAAGCGACTACCTAGCCTACTAAACTTATTAGATCGATGCAATAGTTCTCACGTGAATCAAAAAAAGTCGATAATTCACTGAAATCTAAACTTAAATTCATTGCTTGTTCAAGAGGAAGTGGGTTTTGCGCTTCAAGATAATCATCCAAATTCAGCTTTTCGTTGGTTATCTTCAGAGAAACAAGCTCTCAAAAATTGCACTTTGAAGCTAGTAAAATCAAGTATGGTTATAAATGGTATCAAAAGAAAGCTTCATATTTTGTAGCTCTGGACATGCGGATTTTTTGATGTCCATCCATCAGCAAGTGCTTCTACTACCCTTCACTAAAACATATTCAACAGAAGCGAGAAGTTGCACGACTGCATTTTCGAGCTTTTCATATAAGTCTCTGATGATCTTCGGTGACCGAAGCTCTTCGAAACATTTTCCTCCATCAGAATCAGCGAAACCATTCACAACCTATGTGCATCACCTAACCTAACAGTGCTATGCATGCGTTTGTGAGCACAAATGAAATACTTATGAACACTGCCATGAAGCACAATTGGAAAATAAGGTCTATCGAAAAAAAATATTATGTACAATAATTGACGACTCATTTGTTCTTATTAGAGAACAGCCGACGTCCCCGGTCCAGCCCGGGCAGTGGTAAACTGACCTTGCATGTTATCCAAGCGTCTTGGAACTCCCAATTCGTCCCCTTTTCTTCATTTTAATTCTCGTTTCTCCTTTCCATCTTCCTTCCTGTTTGATCCTGGTTTGCGCTACGGTGCTCGTGGTACCGTAGTAGTTGTCTTCCTTCTTGATCGCCTCTCATCGTGACCGCATCGTTCTCGCCGCAAAATGTAATTGGTCTTTACCGCTCTCTTCTACCTTACTTGTAGAAATGACTTGATAGTACAATGAAAAGCTCATTTTTTCAGATGTAAGTAAACAAATCAATAAATCGATAGAGGGACCCAGCGAATTGTCGCGAAGAGTAGCCTATCTTCTGCGCCGTGGCTTGTTTATCGGGGAGAGAAATTCAGCCTCTTCGGTTCACAAACTAAGGAGTCTATAAGCACGTCCTAACAAACAAAGTTACAGTGTTTGAGTTTTATATACCCTCGATATCATCCCATATGTCTTCCCTCAACATGACGTGGATTACGTGGCTTGATGAGGCTCCGCC